CAGTTTTTTCCATTTTATTTTCTCTTTGTTAATTGCGAAAAAAATATCATTTAACCATTTTTTCAAATATTTTCTTATGAAACCCTTTTAACACCCGAACATCTTTATGTGTGATAGTAAACACTTATTAATAGTTCAACATCTCTAAGCTCAATCTATCATTAATCCTACTTCCATCATGCGGAGACAGAACTAGAGTTCTGTATTACTAGGTCAAATCAATAAAAAGGATTGATTGGGCCAATATAAAATATATACTTTGCCCATTTACAATGTGTATTATTGCACCATAGAGATTTCGACAACGCCAATCGACCTAGAATATTTCCCTTGTGTTGGAGAGCGAACAACAATCGTTCGAATCGCCTGCCATTGTGGATTTTAATGTAATATAGTAGGGTATTCGACATTTACTGTGTATTGTGTACAGTAGGCTCTGTCATGATAGCGTAGATCAAGAAATTCGACAACCACACGGTAAAATCACAAAGGAATATATGATATTATATCGTAAATGTGTTCATTGTTCGTTACTGCACAATCCATTATAGGGCCCGTTAACAATTTACCCTGGGCCGGGGATTAAATCTGAATACACACGGGGCCCCGGTCTAAATCAGAATAAATCTGGGGTCGGGGACTAATTCAGAATATGTGAACTGTATAGGTTTTTTCACCTTATTCTGCTATTCTACCCAGATATCCTCAGTGTTCCTTTACATGAATGTTAATTGAATGCAATAAAACAATATATATTAATGGTACATCAGTTGTTCCAAACTTTTTTTTACATATGAAACGTCATAAATTGGGTCCTGTGTCATGACATACGGCATCTATGCACATAATTAAGCATGACAGAATGTTGTTTCTTCCTAGATACGAGCTGTAGATACATGTAAATAACCATAACTTTTAAAAAACATCTAATCATTTCTCTCTTCCATCAAATATGCCGTCCTGGTTGGAAAGCAAAAATTTGAAAAGTCAACCAACTCCTTTTTTTTTCTCCTGCCTACTGTACTCATTATCTTCGCGTTTTTCCAGTGTTCTTGAACAAACCGGATGTAAAGATGTGTACTTTGTTTCTGGTCATTTCACGAGAGTGTACTTTTGAAGTTGGCCTTGATTTGACTCATCGCTATAGCACGTCGTTTACTTGCTGCCTTGCCTTGTCTGTTTGGAGGAAAGTGCTTCTACCAATCAATGATGGCGTACACGTACATTTTAGAGGTATTTAAGCTGCCAATAATCTACTTGGTACAAGATGGTTGGGAGCATGAATCCTAAATCAATGACGGTTATTATAAGTCCATGGAAATGAGCCTTTTATTTTCTTTATAGTTTGTAAGCTATACAGCTGGGTCTTTGCCAAGGGATTTGACCATCTGTCATCGACGAAAAGTTAGCAAGATTTGGTTAAACTTACAACATTGATCAATAAGAAATACGATAGACAGCAAACACCGGAAATGTTCCGAACATGACAGGCATAAAAACCATTACTAGACTGTGTCAAATACGTAAAAACTAGGCCAAACCAATAATAGTCCGTGTCAAAACTAATAACGATGAAAATGAATGTAAAATAGACAGCTAATGGCTGAAAGGTCGATATGTAGCATGTAAGTGTACTGCTATACGCTTAAGAGATAGTCAGATACTGTCTTCAGTACCTCTGTCTCTAGGAACCATATAAAATAAAAAAAATTCGATGCGTCCCAGGAATAAAATTGAACTGTCAGATGACTTGATAATTCTTCGTTATAAAAGTAAGATTTATTTCATCAACTTCCAAAATGTCATTATAACGGTGTAGTAGATTATTGAAGAAAGCTGACGAGCTCAGAATAAAATTATGAATAATATCGCTTTTGTTTAGAACACTTTAATGAAGGATATAATAATCGTGTTTGGCATGTGGCGCAATGCAACCTCATGAGAGTGTAAGAGCGAGTTACTCCTCTCGTTTGCACATTCTACCCCAGGAAGACTAACTTTCGACATCTCCCGTCGCGGTTTTCGACGCTTTCCTAAATAAATTGGTAAGTTTAATAATCAAGACAGGAATTTGCACTTTTCTTACTACGTTTTCTTCCTCTGTAGATACGAGATAATGTCCCATTTTTTTCATAATCGTTATCTAATCCGGATATGTTCTCTGTTTTTATAGTGATGTGTAGTTTTGCTTTCGAAAGCTGCGTTTTGATACAGTGATCACACGTAACATCGATACGAGCTGGCTCCGTCTCCAGTTATATAATGTATCTTTGACATAAGTTTACCGACTATTTGTTTACTAAGGAATTTGTCAGATTTTGTTTTTCTATTCTTCAAGCTGAATGTAATTCTGTTTTTCTTGTCCCAAGATGAATTTTTTGACAGTCGGTGAATGTGACAGTGTAGTCATCGAAACGTCACACATATTGGCTGTGGTGTAACATCCATTCCATATACATTGACATCATAAGGAAATGTTGCGAGTTTTTCTGTTTGCTGACAGAAAGTGTGAGATGGACACTGATGGACAATGGGTAAAATATTAGATTCTGTAAAGAACAGATCCGTCTCTCAAGAATGTGTGGCTTACTGTCGTCTGGAAGACTAAATGATTAACAAAAAATATATATATGGCTCTCCCGGCTGGGTTGGTTGGCGACTAGGAAAATCAAGGTGCAAAAACACGACCAAACAATCTGCATAACTCATCAATTTTACCATTAGGATGTCGGGGCCTTAGAATTTCTCGAAAGTTTCAATCTTATTTAACTAATAACGACGTTGGAAAGTTGTGAATTGGCATAAAGAAAGAAATTCTGACAGAAAAACAACAAAGAAAATACATTGACATGTCAGAAAAAACATTTCTTAAATCTCTGAAATTGAAACGAGGGCAAAATTTTGATAAAAGACCATGTGTTTCGAAAGTGTAAGAGTTCTCCGCTTCGTCGATGTCACTTGACATGTTAGTTTGGTCAATCCAAAAAAGTAATATAACTTTTCTAGAAAAAGGTTCCTAGAAAATTGACGGCAATGTAATTAAATCACGATACACGTCTTCACTCACTAAGAAGCTTTTTTGCAGTGTTCTTGTTCTGGAACAGTCATAAGAGTGACGGACACACAGGATACAAGATGGCAGGAACTAAGAAATGCCAATTTATAATGGAATAATGTGTAATCTTTCTTATAAGACCATGCAATCAGATTTGTGTTAAATTTTTTTTTAAAAATTAAAAGACAGTAAATATGGCATCCATGCATGTTTCTCGATTTCAAAATGAAATTCAACACATAAATATTTTTTTCCTCGTAATAAATCAGATATCGTCGATGCGCTGATTTCAAAGTCAAATTTGATATTTGTATATTTAAATACTTGTATTTAGATTCAACAAAAGTCAGGCGCGAATCCCTCGTTTCCCTCTCCCACCGCCCGACTCTGTTTCTACCTTCTTCCTTTGTTTGTTTTGTATTTCTATATGTATACAAATGAAGTCCAATGTGAAGAGTGACAGGCATTTAACTAACGTAGGTTCCGGGGAGGAGGGGGTGAAAATATTCTTAGGATTTTCAGTAAATGAAGACAGTGTTTTTACTAAAGATTAAACTTGAATTTGCTTAATAAGCTGTTTACATAACTCGATCGGACTGAAAATAATAAATCGTGCGAGTTTCATTCGCATGTTACTCAATATCGTTGCATTGCCTTGAAGGTGACAACGATGTACATACGATTGATTATGATAATATCATGCCAATATTTTAGCGGCGTTAAAACGTCAGGAGTTGGTAGAAAACAAATCTCTCGAGAATATAGCAACAATAAAATTCAAAATAACTCGGGCTTATTGCCTTCTTAAAAGTTCCTACACAAATTGATTCTGTCAGCAAATTTATCCAAACAAATCAGTCTACATTACAAGCTCGCGCTAACCAGATTATACATGCATCAATTTATCGAATCCCATTTAATTGGCCGACTGGTTATTAGAATCTGAAAACCACCAAATGCTTCCATTCAAAACTTTGAACTACTAATGCAAAACACAAATAAAGCAATAAAATACACTTAATACATCATTAGGAGATACATATCTATAAAGATGTCGATTGAGCTATTCTAGGGCCGACTGGGTTTCATTTAATGAAAGATTCCTTCGGAAAAGTAAACTACAGATTCGAGCTATTTCAGAGAAAGCGGTTTGTGAAATAAATTCTAGATTTAATTTTCAGAATGTTCTTTAAAATGTACATTTTTGAGTTTCGATATTTTTAGGATCACATATCATTAAACATCTTCTGTGACTATAAATGTTAGACATTAAACATCTGTAAGTCGAGTCCACAATAGTAATGAAGATGAGGCGTGGATATCACATCCTTTGTAAAAGTGCTACTTTCATTGTCCTAAAGGGAGATAACTCACGAGAACAAAAAAAGGAACCTAATTTCACATTTATATTTCAGAATTATTACTTTTACTTATGGAATTGGCTCACTTTTTGTGTAAACTAATTGATTTTTGGAAATCATGAAGGTGGTAAATTCTACTTCACTTTCTTCAAGTAGACGACTGTCATTCTCAAGCATAGCATTACTACTTATTTGTTAGCAAACCAATGTATTCCCGACTTTTCTTTGTAGGGGGTATTAACCTGAATCATCCCCAGTAGTACATTCTATTTCAACAAGATTTGTAATGATGTAAAATAAATATCCACAAATATTTTGGATTTAGTGGTTTTCAAGAACATAATTAGTAAAGGTTTCAAAAAGAAAGAATTTAATTTCTCCCTTCCCCTTAATCACAATAGCAGAGGTGTGAGTCATTTTTAAATATAAACAACAAAACAATTTTGTACATTCATATGATTTATCTATCACTTTTCTTTCATTAGTATAGTTTCTACCAAAAAAGAAAAATTCACTATTTCTTTAACAATAAAAAAACAATAACAAACAGTTTCTATCTATCAATATATCTTTGATGTTAAGGACAACTAATCTTACAACCATATACTTTATTTATACCAGATTTTACTACAAATAAAAACTGTTGACTGTTAGAAAACATACTACCAGAAACATTTTAGTTATGAGTTCCTTCACTCGCACTACCATTTAAAAAAATATTTATAACATACAAAATAAAGACTTCATAACAAAAAATCATAAACCTCGAGATACTTGGTGCGTTTATACAACTTTTACCAAAACAGAGACAAAACCATTGCACTAACAATGACATACTTAACATAACCGCAAATATAAAAAAAAAATTCTACAAAGAATTCATATAAAGCTGGTGACAGAAATGTTTCATGTTTATGTAACATGAAAAAAAATACCCAAAACAAGGTGATAAAGAGGAATGGTTATTAAAAGATGAAGCAAAAGTTTTCATATACATGCATATAGATAATAACAACGTTCTGAAGATTTAGACATTGTGCAATCATTTGCTCAGATCAGTAGACACATGTCTTATAAGCAACTTTCAATAGTGTCTTGGATTTCCTCTTCAGAATTTACACCTAGACATTCTTATTTGTTCTATGCTCCTAAATAATTATTGACATGTAATCGTTGTATCACCTGTCACCTGGACCACACATTTTACACACAATAATGGTCAGACTGGAGCTCCAGAACAGTAATATTCACTGTAATACACTACGAGATTGTCTCACTATGTTGAAGGAGCAAATTTCCAAGGTATGTAGTTACAAACAAGATGAGCACTTCACACCAAACTTTCAGATATTCCTTACTCCTGGTGCAGGACATACTGGAGAGTCCTGAGAGATTTTGTCTTCGTGATGCATTTACCATTTGTACTTGAAGTTGACCTTGAGCAGATACTTCATGTTGATCTGGGCCACATCGTAAACAATGTATCTAGGTGACCGGTCAAGGAAAAATATCGCTACATTTCACACACACAAAAATCAGCATAATCTCAAAATATTTCAATCAGATCCATTTTCGATGTTGTGGCATCTACTTTTGAGAACAGCCTAGCAAATTCTATCAGTAATTCCAAACCTGAACTAAGGAATATGTTTTAAATCAGTTTCAGTGTTTAATTGTGTCCATTCATTTAACATTTCCTAATGTCTACTTCCAAACTGCTACAAGAATAGCACATTTTTTTGTTTTTGGTTTTCACTTTTACAAAACCATTTCAACAATGTCAAATTATTACCTTTCATGAAGAAGAATTTAATTTCTTTTTGGTGAAATGACCCAATATACCCTTGTTCTAGAAAAATGGTATTAAAGGTGACCTTGATCTTTTACCTTCATTAATTATTCATAACGTCGCTACAGCTGACGTGACTGTATGTGCTGATTCATACCAGCACATGTAAAAAAAGGATACTCATTATACAGGAGACTGGATCGCCCCTGGGAAGAGGGTACACCTTTACCCATAGGGATAGTGGAGCCATCCGGGAGAGCATAGGATCCTGTGGGGTCAGGGCATGTCATACCAACACCTGAAATTCAGAACGTATGATGAAGTGTTATGTGATAAAACCAGACCTTACCCTGACCAAATAACAAATATCAGGTATTCTGATGGAGAGATAAGTCTGAAATTAAAATGAAACTATGTTTTACTCTATGATATCACTTCATGTCAATACATTTTGGTTGCCTGATGAAAAAATTCTGCCTTAACATCACAACTGCAGCACCTTAAAAATATCAATGAAGTAGATATAGTTTAATCTAATGAAGACTTTGTGTTCTGTTTACAACAATAAAATCCTGAAGACTTGAAAACGTTAACGATAATTTGTTTACCTGCTGTGTTGATTTTACATGTCTACATATATATACCCTGTAGGAGGTATTTTTCACGAGTCACAATTTTTGTGACTTTCTTTTAAAATGAACAAATTATGTTTCAACAAATTAATGAACGATCTGGATGTAAAAGGACATGTAATATACCCATTCATCATTATGTAAACAATCTAATTTTTGAAGTCACGTTAATGTTCTGTGAATCAGAGAACAAATCACTGATTTAATCATGAAGATTGGTTCAATTTATTTTCTATACAACTAACAGCTCTAAACATAATTAAATTTTCACACTCCAGTTGTTGAGCGACACCATTTGGGAAAAAAAGTAATCAATACTCTGTTGCTACACAAATATGTTGGACTTCTTAATAAATCAAATTTTAGCTGATCATTAACATGATGCTGTCAATTCTAGTTTTCAAGGAAAACAAAAAAAAAACAAATAAAACAAAAACAAACCAAAAAAAAATAAATAAATATGGTCGATTTCTGACCACTTTGTTTGATAATCAGTAAACCCTGGCCAAACAATAGTTACTCATTCATGAAAATGTCTTTCAACTTGTGTTGGTCCTACAGGGGCTAATTAAATGATTGTTAAATGATAGATATGTATATAAAAATTACTGTTTACACAGTAATTTTTCCACTTTGTGGCGTTGTTCTACCGAACCCCCACCTTTATATTAAGTGTGAGAATTATATAAATACTGTATTTTTTATAATATTTGTATGCATCTTGTTAATAGTTACATATGTTTCCTATAATTTCTAATAACTTGTCACCTTATGGTGGCCATTTTCAATTCATACTAATCTTTTAGTTTTCTGTATGTGGAGTATACATAAATGATAGATATGTATAATACTGAGAATTATTAAGACCTTAAACAAAGTAACAACAATATATAGCAGTTAAAATCCTCCCTGATAAATGAATCTGACATTTACCTTTGGTACTGTGTTTTCCTTTAGGTAACTTGTCAATATAATCTGCTCCGAACCTTTCATACCTGTTCAGTAAAGATCAACAACAGTTAGAGATTTCCTAATATTTCTCAAGTCATACCTGTTCAATAAAGATCAACAACAGTTAGAGATTTCCTAATATTTCTCAAGTCAAAAAAACATCTCATGAGTTCTGCTTCTTCACTACAGATTCGGGAGAACTCTCAGAAAAGCTGATATCTGAATGTGTTCATTTGCATTAATATCAATGAACCATATTAATTCAAGGAAATTCAACTAAGATCTGATCTCCGACTGATAAATTCCTTTCAAATGAAAATCTTGACAAACGATGTAAAGAACTATCCCACTAAAATACATTTAACATTTCTGTTGGTAGATACTGTAAACTAGTTTTCTGAAATAACCTGGATGGGGCCTTGCACAAGTTAATCATATTTTTTGTATGAAGATCCTCTGTAAAATATCTGAGAATTTAGCACATACTTACATATTACCAAGAGCTACTTCACAAAGTAGCATTATACCGACAGGATCAGTCTTCGACGTCCGACAATAGTTTGCACTCTTTGAAACCATGTCCGCAAAGTAAACTCCTTTACCAAACATGTATCCAGTCTGAAATTTACGAAATATTCCGCCATTTTATCGATCAAATAAAACCCTGTTGATTTACAGTTATCATACTCTTTCTACTATATATAGGACAGAGATCAGGTAGTAATCAAAACCACCGTTAAATGCCTTGTTTCATAATCATATCACACTATAGGCAGGATGCTAGCATAAAGATATATGATATAGCCGGTTGTTTTCGTTGGGATTATATTTTCGCTTTAACATGATAGTGAAAGTTGAACTTATGAATAATAAAACAGGTGTTATGAGACATTCCATTTCATCTAGGTCGTGAAATTTCCATTCGTGTAATATAATTCACAAAAATTTTGACCCCTGAAAATTACCAGCTGTACATTAGTGGGAGAAATTCTAATCCAAGATTCATAATTGTGACTAACAGTAGCCACACAGAAACTTAACTTTTACCATACAATTATCTTATACAACAAAACATCTTGTTAATGAAGGACATGAAATTTTACCTATATCTTCTGACAAGGTATATTCTAATAAAGTAAGTTTTTGGTTGTGATCTGAAATCAATTCATTTACAAATCTGATTATTCAAATTTATTTTTGTCTCCTTACCACTGGGGCCTCAGGTGGGGCAATCCTCAGACCCTGAGAGAGGATACCAGCGTAATTGGTCGTGCGTGAACCGTGCCACAACAGCTGTCGGTTAGGTAGGTCTCGGAACGGTGAATACCTCACTCTCTCACCATCACGTATGATTTGGAAGACCTATTGAAAGAGGAAAGATTTTCATGAAAACTACATTTATGAAAAATGGTGAAGATTGATACATAGGTAACAGTGACCTAAATTTGATATATTGGCACAAGAATTTATAGGTCACATAAAGGTGTACCACAGTGACTATTTAAAAGTTACCTATCATACCTTGATTTTTTTAACTTTGGTATCATTGTACTGAAGATAAAGATGACATTTTGTATGCTGATGTGTATGAGCAGACAAAACTGGAAAGACAACACTGAATGTCTGCTCCTTTGAGTGATATAAAGTTAAAAATCATATAAAAAAAAGAGTTTGGCAATTTTTCAGATCTGTATTAAAACTGCTTTAACATGGACTCGAGTATCCTCTAACTTTTAACAGAACAAGTCCCAATGAACAATATTTCTTGGTTTTGAACTTACATCTAACACCTCCAAATCGTACTGGTTATGGGTCGCAGCGTGAGTATTCTTTACATACTCTAATAATCTCTCACATTCCTCAGATGCAATATCCAAGTGCTGAAAAACATATTAATACAACAATTTATCAATAAAAACTCCCCTTATTCTCATATACATCTAATTTATAACTAAATATCAGGAATATTCATGCAATAAGAATAAAAAAAATTACTATCTTGCTCAAAAGGGTAATAACAAATTGTAAATGTGTGGACAAAATAGAGATGCCTTATGTCATTTTGATTTTTCATACAAAATTCCACAGTCAAATCCCTCAACCTAGTCTTAAACATCCCTTCATTGCATGCTAGTAAATCTAGCTACACTCTAAACAATACCTCAATTTCAGTGTTAAGTTTCCTATAGTGAGCGTCAATTGGATCCTCGCCTGTATCGCCGCCCTTCAGCATGCTGTATGCCACTTCAATGTCAAGGAGATTGTTGATCATATCTGTCTTAGCCTATAACAAAGGATTAGTTATTACCAGAATTATTACCAAATTTCAACTCTTGAAAAACTTTTCATTAGAAACCACAAACCCTGAAGTCAAGCAACACATGTCCCTTACTGTGCCAATATTAGCATTTTTGAAGAAAGTTATCATCTGGAAAGCAAATATCTGTTTAAGCAACGGTGACTTTTGTTGTTGACCTTTTGACCGCAAACACAATCCAACACTAGGTCTCCTACAAAACCAACACCGTATCAAGTTTTAACCCAATCTTTCATCCCAAACTAATGTCATCATCTGGAAAGCAAATATCTATTTTCAGCAACAGTGAACTTCAAAGATTACCTTTTGACCCCAAACACAATCCCACACTAGGTCTTCTACTAAACATTGTATCCAGTTCTATATAAATTGGTCAGCTCTTTCTCAAGTTATCTTCTGGACGTTTCAACACACAAACATTTTCTGTGACAGACAATCCAACATACAAATATTTTCTCTGAGAGACATTTCAACATACACACATTTTCTGCGAGAGACATTTCGACATACAAACATTTTCTGTGACAGACATTTCAACATACACACATTTTCTGCGAGAGACATTTCGACATACAAACATTTTCTGTGACAGACATTTCAACATACACACATTTTCTGTGAGAGACATTTCGACATACAAACATTTTCTGTGACAGACATTTCAACATACACACATTTTCTGCGAGAGAAATTTCAACCTACAAACATTTTCTGTGACAGACATTTCAACATACAAACATTTTCTGTGACAGACATTTCGACATACAAACATTTTCTGTGTGAGACATTTCAACATACAAACATTTTCTGTGACAGAAATTTAACCTACAAACATTTTCTGCGAGAGACATTTCAACCTACCAACATTTTCTATGTGAGACATTTCAACCTACACACAATTTCTGCGAGAGACATTTCAACCTGCAAACATTTTCTATGGGAGACATTTCAACCTACACACAATTTCTTCGAGATTTCAACCTACACATTTTCTAATCCCTTCTTTAACTTTTCATGTTACTATTAAGTTACCTTCAAGCATGCTATTACCATAGTTATGGGTTACAAATTCCAGATGGACTGTGTATCTGTATATATACTTACTTTTATTATTTCTATGGTGTTTATAAGTGGAGGCTTCTTCATGCCAAAGTCATGTGGTACCAATGTATAAAATCGGTTTGTGGCGTCTAGGAACTGTGTCTGAGTACCACCTTTACCAATCAGCTGGTCACCGACAAAGAAGAAAAAAACTGATCATATACCAGAGAAGTTTTTCTCTCCATCTCTTATCTGTATATCTACTTCTAACAATGATGGTTCCAGGTTCCTTCATGTTATAGTCAGTGCTGTATGCCAATATTTCTCACAAAACTCACTTTCTGAAACTGATCTCAGCCTAGCTAATTAAAAATAAATACATCTGTATAGCAAACAGTGTAATACAGACCAGATATCATTATTTCACATTTAATATTAATATGAAATGTTTCATTCTTCTGTGCAGCCTTTCAGATCTGATCTTAAACTAGTCAATCATGTAACAGACAGTAATCTAGCTATGAAGATACTGAGCCAAATATCTGAAGCATATTACCATGGGCCTAAATAGTACGTAACTATATAGTTTTATCAAAACACAATTTATACCTGAAACTGAATCAGAGGTCATTCATTTAATCTTATTCAACAGCCCAACATTCCAATTTCCTACTTCCCAAATACCAACACACCAAGTCCTCATGAGAAGTAATTTAAATCAAAAGTTTGTGGCTGAATGGAAAACTCACACAAGTGTCACTTTTATAAATTTCTGGAAACGTTGTGATTTAAGATACAAAACTGTATTTCATTGTGTTATTGTGGTAAAAGTTAGTTTAAGTTTGCAGTAAAAAATGTCTTACCTCTGTGAGTTCTGTCAGCACAGTATACGCAGACTCAATCTGTCGCTTTGATAACTTTCCCAGAGGCATCTTCTTCAAATCAATCTAAAACAAAGATAGTAAATGTTGTTATTGAAGAAATTTCAATCTCTTTAAATATATATATATTTTTTATTTGCCAATCTCTTTACATACATGTACATTTCTGATTTGCCAATCTCTTTACATACATGTACATCTTTTATTTACCAATCTCTTTACATACATATATATTTTTAGTTTTTGCCAATCTCTTTACATACATGTACATTTTTAGTTTTTGCCAATCTCTTTACATACATGTACACTTTTTATTAGTCAATCTCTTTACATACATGTACATTTTTAGATTTGCCAATCTCTTTACATACATGTACATCTTTGATTTGCCAATCTCTTTACATACATGTACATTTTTGATTTGCCAATCTCTTTACATACATGTACATTTTTAGATTTGCCAATCTCTTGACATACATGTACATTTTTTATTTGCCAATCTCTTTACATACATGTACATTTTTTATTTGCCAATCTCTTTACATACATGTACATTTCTGATTTGCCAATCTTATTACATACATGTACATTTTTAGATTTGCCAATCTCTTTACATACATGTACATTTTTAGTTTTTGCCAATCTCTTTACATACATGTACATTTTTTATTTGCCAATCTCTTGACATACATGTACATCTTTGATTTGCCAATCTCTTTACATACATGTACATTTCTGATTTGCCAATCTCTTTACATACATGTACATTTTTAGATTTGCCAATCTCTTTACATACATGTACATTTTTTATTCGCCAATCTCTTTACATACATGTACATTTTTGATCTGCTAATCTCTTTACATAAATGTACATTTTTAGATTTGCCAATCTCTTTACATACATGTATATTTTTAGATTTGCCAATCTCTTTACATACATGTACATTTTTGATCAGCTAATCTCTTTACATACATGTACATTTCTGATCTGCGAAATATATTCACTGTTACACAATTAGAAAGAACTTAATACATTAAATTCTTTTCAATTGCATTTGTTGAAGTAATCACTTCACCAACCTCAAATTCCAACATGGCTTTCTTCATGCTTTCCACGTCAAATATCATACAGATTAGATCTTGTACAGCTTTGGGTAGCTTGGATGTTCCTCCAGCCTTAAGCGTGGTAACTGCTTCTTCATCATCCTGGATAGTACAAATAACAGATCAGTTGGATCAAAGTCGAGGGTCAAAAAATACAAAGGAATAGATGACCTTTGAATAACTGCCATGTCAATGTCTAAAAAATAGTGAACTTTTAAACAATACCTAAATATTTGTTTCAATTTTCATCCAATTTCTTTACCTCTGGAATCTGCATGTCAAACACCTTTACAATTCTTGTAGAAATACTGACCATTATAGGTGAAGTTAAAATTTGCACCAACTCTTTAACTTCAAGACACTTGTTTGATAAAGAAAAATCTAAAAGTGGACAAAATGTAAAATCGAAGTAGAAATATTTGTCAAAATCCTTAAAAATTTGTTTCATTCTCCTATGACACTTTGTTACCATCACACTAAATTTCAGTATCCTTGTGTAAATAGAGCAAGTTATTACCAGAAAGTTAAAGTGCCCATGCCAAATTTTGACAAAAAATTGTAAGGTCCTAAAAACATTATTTCTAATATAATATGTCACTGCTGTAAAGTTTTCTACAATATATCTATGTATCTCTGTCAATCCTTACAGTATAAGTTATACTGCTGATGGCAATGATTTTAAACAGTATATGCTGTATTGGCTTTATGATAACTAGGGTTGCTTTCACTTAACCCGGTTGAAACAGTTCAGGTGGTTTGAAATTATTCCACTATAAACGAACACACATGTACAGGATGTTGGGACTAATATATGTAAAGCTCAAAATGTAGAGTTTCAGAATTTCTTGTCAAGCATAAAACAATTAACTAAAATTAGGATACCACCCATTTCACTCATACTTAATAGCACAATGTTTGCAGAAATATGTGAATGCACTGTACCCTAATATATACTGAAATTCTGAAAACTAATAATAATCTGCCAGTTCATTTCAGATAGGTATGGCTGGATCCCTCAATCTGCATGTGCCAAATATTCCGCACCCCAGCCTCAAACTTAATAACGGGTCAAACCGTCTCAGCCGCTTAGGCGCAAGTGATCTAGTATTCTTCAAGCTGGGTAGCTAATTACAAAAATGAATTTTACAGAATGTACCTGACCATAATCGATCTCCAGAGGGTAGAATTTATTGGCCTGTTTAATGAAGTTTTTGCGGTTGGCCCAATGATTGCCCGTTTTTTCCAGATATAGAGTCTCCATAGCCTTCATGACATCATAACGAGAATCAAACTTTTCCATCTTATTGCTTCCAATCGTTGTCCCTACTCTTCCCCAGGATCGGAACAACCACCATCTACAAGAAACAGTTGACAGAATAGAACCCATGTTTTCTTCTCAATATTTTCCATAACATCTCATAGAAACAATTAAATAATTTTTTAATCAATGTATACAAAGCACATTATAACACAATTTAATGCAATTCTGTGCTTACTGCTAGCTCAACTTTTAAACAATTCAACTGTCTCCAAACAAACCATTCAGTTATCAACAACATAAAGCCTTCGAATCCTGTATAAAATCCTGTCGACCAGAATTTTTTTTTCAAATCAAGCAACCCTAATTGGTCAGATTAAGAAAATTATTAATCATTCAATAATCACCAAACAGAATTATACCTTCCACCGCCATCACGCTCCAGAACTTGTATTTTGTAGAAGGAGTTAGTTCCTCTTACGACATCTACCAGTCCCAAGACAGCATTGTATATATTGCCCTTGTCTTCTAAGATGTGTGCTGAACTTTCCAGTCCTGTATAATGACAAAATATCAACATAAATACAGATTGTAGAGCGGATCAGACAAAGTACAGACAAGAGACCTAGCGACCTTGATGGTCACCTGAGATAAGTAATATTGAATATAAAGGTTAAAGGATAGTTATCAAGTGTCATGAAACAGAAATTGTGACACTGAATATAGTAAGCCAGTGTCAATACATGCATACCATCAAAACTGTCATCTTATACTGAAAATTCTTACTTCCAGTGGGAAAAATACGTTTGCTAAAAAAATCCAATTTGACCCCTTTTGGCCACGCCCATCAGCCCCTGGGAGCCAGCTAGGATCAAAATGGGCATACCATCAAGCCGTCATCCTTCATTCATAATTCTAACCAACTTTGAAATATTTCCAATGAAAATTAAACAAATTATGCTCAAAAATCTAGTTTTCCTATATAAACTATAATAAACTTTACCCCCTCCCCAAGGGGGGAAATGCGAGACCCTTGGGCCATGAAATTCACAATTTTGGTAAAGCACTTTATGATGCTTCCATTCATGAAGAGTATTTGATCCTACCATATCTGGAACTCAGAAGATTTTTGAAATCTGAGTCAATTTGACCCCTTTTTGGCCCCGCACCTCATTCCCCTACATCAACTACACATAGTAATACATAGAGAGTGTAAAGGAAGTAGTAAAACGTACTCTATGTAGGAGTTAAATCAAACAGAAAAATTTTAATTTGATAGAAATGGAAAAAAAAAAATCAAAAAGGAAAAAAATAGATATATCTATAACATTGTGCTAGACAATATCCATGTTAATATGTAATGGCTAGAGACCAGATAAGCCATTCTGACATCTGCTACACCATCAGTTGAAGTTTCTCACCTGAATCAGGATCTACAGCGGCCCCACCCTTCACTGTCATTTTCATCGTCTTAGGGACACTCTTTGTGTACATCTTATCTGCAACAAAATTTTAAAACATTCCTTCCACAGAAAAGCAGATTTTTAAATTCCCTACGCAGAAGAATTGAGAGATTTCTCATAGATAATTTTATCGATTAAATCTATTTATTTGTTTTAATCTTTTCAAAACTTATTCATCCCTTTTTTAAGATATGTTTTTAGAGATAAGATGCTGTATTAATTCTTAAGACATGTGTCTTTTACAGGAAAGATGTTGCATTCATTTTCAAAATATATGTTATGTTTCTTAGAGAAAAGATGCTGCATTCATTTATTTAAGACATGTGTCTTTTGGAGGGAACATGCTGTATTTATTTTAAAGGTACGTGTCTTTTAGAGGGAACAATTGTGTCTAGATTAATTATTACGATTAAGATTAATTATATCAGCAATGACTAGTACACATGTGTCTGTATTCATGTCACCTAGAGCATCATTCTATTCATTTCCTGGTCTGGAAATGCAGATCTCTGCATACAAGTTATATATATCTGTGTATAAAGCTGTCTGCCTCGTATCTGTCTGCAGGGTTTACTCGATACATTGCAGTCATCAGAAGGCATTCTGTTCTAGGAAGATTGAGTGACAGCTAAGTCAAGTAAGACAGAGCTGTGTATCTGGAACTACTTCCATTATATACTTTTTACCCTTGTACTCATTAAAGTTACAGAAATCATGCTATGAATGATTTTCCAAAATCTCTACATCTACCACTCAGCATGAAATGAGAATAAGGATACATTTAACTTAATATCTGGCATTTGTCTCAATAAAAATGCCACCCATAAATTTAATTTTATTCATTAAAATGAAATTAAACCTACCTTAAGTCCACCTCTAATAGCACATACCTGTCTATAAAGAGCTATATAGCAAATACCTGTCTATAATAGTCATTGAATCTTTATATATGATACACCATGAAGTTCAAAACCTGAAACTCTTGTCCCATTTACTTCTGATAATTGAATCTAATTGCATGCAGTAACCATTGAAAGTATTACATTGACACGTTTGCAGCATTAATAAATCCCTGAGTGACTTATGGAAAGCTAGAAATATGTATTTATACCTTACTTCAGTAAAACAACCCTACAGTACAAATCCCATTAATGTAAATTATGACATCTCTAATTGAAACTGAAAACTTAACACAATCAATAATTTTCCTTGTATGAAAAATCCTACCTGCAGCATCTTTGTAAGCTCCGTAACTCTTACTCATCTTCTTCTTTTCCCCGCTCTTACTTGATGAGGGTAAGCTAACACGAAGTGTTGGCTGAAATACAGAACAAAGCTCGGACTAAAGACTCTGTACATTACATTTGAAACATTTTAAATTGAAACCGACCAATGGAGAAAGGAAACATTTTGTTTAAAAGAAATAGATGATACAGATATAATTTATATATAACCTACATCTGCCCCCCATGGAGCTATCGAGTGACTCTGGATCATCAACAATGCGCCACCTTTCTGTACACTGTCCAGAAATCCCTCGTCCACCACATGAATGTCTGCCTTTTCCGCATCTTTAATTGTCTTAGACTTTTTGCCAACCTCCTCTACAAAGCAATAAACAGGGTATCTGTATATCATTTTTATGAAATATTAAGATAGAGGCTTAGGGTACATTGTACATGACTTGAAGCAGTTTGTCTCAGAAAATTTCTACTTGTAATTTTTAAAGACAAGGTTATTGAGTGATGTCATGATTGCAAATATGTCATACCTATGGCATGATTACACATATGTAATACTTTTTCTATCGTCAGTGTTTTATAAGGCAAAATATGTCAGTTGTTTGGAAAAGTCAGATAACTAATGAGAAAGTAACAAACGTTTTAACAATCTGTTAAATGTTTTTAAATAAAAGAGAAAGTTTTTGAAAGAGAGAATAAAAATTCTCTTTCTGGCATTTATTTAGCATGTCTCTGATGCAGCTTATTTCTTTGAATTCAAAAGTAAAAAAATAATATAGACATGATATAAGAACAAGATGCTTCATACATATCTAGTCATCATCCTTGAACTGGGTAACTCAGAGCCTTCAGTGTATTTAAGAAAATTTGAGTTAAAGTATACACACAAGCATGACTACATGTAAAATATCATAATGGACTATCTTCTGTTTGTGAAAAGTTCAAACAGATCACTTGTGTTCCAATTTTTACACCACGACAGATATGAAGCTTTAGAACAATCACAATCAATGTGTCTTAACTTGATTGAATTAACTAAAACATGTCACTTTGGACTCGTAAAAAGTAATACCTGAACGAGTAAGGAAAAGAGGCCCGAGATTGTTCTGGTTTTACACTTACTCTTTGTTGAAATACAAGCTGCAACATCAGATGCCATTTTATTGACAACAAAACCACCAAGCTTAGTAATCTCTCGACAGATTTCCTCCTTCGGTTTCTCAGTCTTTCCTGTGACAATGAACTTCATTCCCTCGAGTGACTGTGTAGAAGATGATGATGATGATGATGGCCTATAATAATTAGATGAAGAGTTAATTTTATATCTAGTCACTTTATACCTCAATCAATCATGTGAGTTTCAGGGTGTTCAATTTCTACTCTGTTTGAAATCAGAAAAATGTCTCAGACATTGACCCCTAACTTCTATGCATACAAGTCTCTCTGTTTGACGAAGAAGCTGTCAAATGCAACCTTTGAGCCTCCAATCTTTCTGATGACCACCATAATATGAAAAGGTGCAGAGGTTGATGATATACATAGGATAATTATGTGTATGAAATCTGTTTAGAGATTTCCCAATATGACAGATTGTTGGAAGGGAATGCAACAGGACAGACATGAGAAACACTCTAAACACTTTTTCCCCCACCCCTTTCCCCTCAATTAAACAGCTGAGTCAATAAAAAAAATTCACAATATACTGTTTATCCCAAAAATTGTGACCCTTATGCTGTGAAATGCTGAGACAACCATAGCTGGTGGTGAAGACAAGTGGCAAGGATTTATCTATACCGTTCATGACTATATGCAAACCTATCTTTACTTACCCAGCTCCAGAATCTACTGTATCCAATGAACCGTCCAGAGAACTAGCCACCGCTGCTGAACTAAATGCTCGTTCTCTTTTCTCAAACTTGAAATTTTTTCTGAAACAGAAATTTTATGTATTATTATTATTATGACATGCCAAGAACTTTGTGATGATCTGAAATATATATAATGTATTCATTCAAAATTTATGTTTCTAACAATAAAACAGTTTATATTCTAATTGCATTATTTCTAATGGACCAAAGTCTTTCTTTAAATGATTGTGTATTCCATTTCTTTATGAAGATCACATAGAGTGCATAACACTTTAAGTTACAAGGGCAGCATAAAAAAAATGTTTGTTCTTGTGATCAGTGATCGTTAAAGATTAGAAAGTCTTCCAAATATAGTATCAGAATATGTGTATTAGGAAATGATTCATTTTCACATATTATTACTGAATGTCAGATAATCTCTTGTTATTTTTGTGGCAACGTTTTTAGAAGATAAATTTTCATCTTTCATTAAAAGTAATGCATATAGTATTGTGGCTATCAAGAAGAAAATAACATAAAAATGCTTAATTTTCATTTTATTTAATTATCTTAAATCTGCATACCAACAAAATAGTAAAATTTTGAAAACTGACTTTTACTTTTTTCCTAGCATGGAAAGTTAAGTTTAGAGGATATTTTGCTTGGTTAAAAATGAGGGGTTGCTCTGCTTTAATTTTGGTAATTCTCAATTCTCCAAAGTTTCTTAAGTAAAAAACAAACTGAAATATTTGTTTTAAGGTCCTAAAAATCAGAGAAAGTGGTCCCACATGTCAAAATTCACAAATATATCTGTAATTGGTGTTGATGATTCATGCCAAAAAATTGTCTTAGAAAGCACCCTTTGTTACTTACAGATACCACTATAAATAACAAACCATATAAGTACACAAAAGTAAAAAATATTACATTGAAATTCATTCTATACTAAATTTTGGGTCAAACATACAAATTGATATTGAATGCAGGTAGGGGAAGGGGAGTAACTCTTATATTGATCCTGGATAAGTTCAGGAGAAGGGCAGTAACTCTAACAATGGCAACAAAGGAAGTGACTTCAATATCATTATATCGCTAATGTGAATCATTAGAATTACAAGTATCAAGCTCACAAATATAACGGTAATGATGTAAAATTACCTAGGTACCTTTACATTTGTTCAACGTGTGACCTTAGCTACAGTATCAAAATCTGTCGCTGATAACAACAGGAACTGATACTAATACATAATGAAGGAGTCGAGGTCACTCATGGGTGATGTGTATGATGTGGATTGAACTAGAAGGACTATCAGAGTTGGTGTATCAGGATAGAATGGCATATAAACCTAAGTAATGGTCAAGCTGACGGTTAAAGACATATATCTATAAGATCTTTATATGATCATTTTGGTGGATGGGTGTGATGGGAGGGTAGTAACTGATCATATTTACAGTGCTGATGTTTACTTACAGGAAAGGCACATCATGGAATTCCTTTGGAACTTTAAAGCTCTTGCGTTTGGGTGTCTTTGTGATAAACATACATTTGGTCCATTCTGTCATGTTACCAGTACACTTGTAACCGAGGGCTCTGAAAATCAAAAACATTGCAGTCAGTAAATTTAGGTTTTCTTGAAAATTTTTTAAACTATAGTGCCTTTTTCTGTGTGAAAAACTTGTTCAAGTTCTATTTTCAAAACATTACCATTTTTTTTGTAAAAACAAAAAGTAATTTTCATTGCAGGGAAAGTAACACTTTATCGATTTGATATTCTCTGTATTTTAGAACAAAAATGCTTCCAAACTTACGAGTACTGAAGTTGTCCTTTCTTACATTCAGGACACTTCTCGAGAGCTCCAAAAACCATAGCATCTGCACACGCATCCAACAGCTATATAATGTAAAAAAAAATGTTAGATCTCTGCTTGTTGCATCACAGTTACATTCCCAGCCACTAAGTAGTAGGTTTGAATTAGTTTATATTTCAAATTCCCAAGGAATATTCCTTTAAATTTAATATTACAGTATGATCAGTGTCATCCCATTTACATCTTTCAGTTACATATCATAATACTATCAAAACATTGTCCACTAACATATTCTGCCAAAATATATAAGGATCATTGTTAGTTGAATTTGCAGAAATTTCCCAATGCGACCTTTGAACCTTTAACCAGAAACCTTGAACACTTTAATATATTATGTAGTGCTTGATGTTAAGATTCTCCGGGATAAGTATAACCAAATGATCCCCCCTGCACATAATCAAATAATGGGGGCATAAACAATAATAAACATACTGTTCTTATGTTTATACCAGATATAGAGCTGAAGAATTGTGGGCAGTGATGTAATGTGCTTATAGTAGGAGAAGGATTCCTCATGGCAAAAAACAGAAAGCCAGATGGCAACAAATGAGATTTACTGCCAGAGGCATGCAAAGTGAGGAAGGATAGATCACATTTGTATCTTGAAACAATAGTAATCAAATTTGTTATTGGTTAAGGGTTTGAGATGGATGAACAGAAGACGAACACACAACTTACACAACTTTCACCTGTGGGTAATGCCTGGTTATTTAACTGTAACATTATCTTTATTGCATTGTTAGACACACTCTTAGTCAGTAGATCTCTGTACTTCCAAATCAGCTGACTTTGTTCCTGAAAAAAAATAACAATGATTAAATAGATCAAAACAAACATAAAACAATAATACTGCTATTCCATTCAGTAGGCAGCAGAAATTTGTTTATTTTTAGATGCTGTCATAGCAAAATGTGAGAAACATCAACGTATCATAATATAATCAGTGTACAGTCAAAACAATGAACATCAGCGTGATAATAATTTTTGTTTTCACCGTATTCACATAACAGCAAGTTCAAATGGCCATCATACACATTCTTACTTTATTCTGAGGACTAAGGCTTATTGTAAGACAATGAAATAGGAAATGTTTGTAATTTTACTGCCGAGCATCAATTGATATGGATAGACTTATTTAATACCAGGCATGGACTTAATACCAAATTAACTACATTTAACATATAGTGTCTTTCACCTACACGAAGATTTTTTTCCTCTTCCGATTCTTCTTTCTTCACTTTTTTACCACCACCATTCTCCTTTGTGTCACCTTTTCGTTTCTTACTGTAAACAAATTTTATCAAACAAGATGGACATCATCATTATTCATCTAGAAAGCTGAATATTTAAAATCCATGTATCTTACAGTATCAAAATGAGATCAACCAAGATGGACATCATCATTATTCACCTAGAAAGCTGAATATTTAAAATCCATGTATCTTACAGTATCAAAATGAGATCAACCAAGATGGACATCATCATTATTCACCTAAAAAGCTGAATATTTAAAATCCATGTATCTTACAGTATCAAAATGAGATCAACCAAGATGGACATCATCATTATTCACCTAGAAAGCTGAATATTTAAAATCCATGTATCTTACAGTATCAAAATGAGATCAACCAAGATGGACATCATCATTATACACCCTGAAAGCTGAATATTTAAAATCCATGTATCTTACAGTATCAAAATGAGATCAACCAAGATGGACATCATCATTATTCACCTAAAAAGCTGAATATTTAAAATCCATGTCTCTTACAGTATCAAAATGAGATCAACCAAGATGGACATCATCATTATTCACCTAAAAAGCTGAATATTTAAAATCCATGTATCTTACAGTATCAAAATGAGATCAACCAAGATGGACATCATCATTATACACCCTGAAAGCTTTACATTGAAAATTTAAGTTATAGAAACTTCTGAATTCTATGGATTCATTGGAAACATTTTTCAATAAACCCAATCATCAAAATCTAAACTTGGATGCCTAACAGTTAACATATAATTTAAAATAAGAAGACAGTGTATATGAAATTGTGTTCATGTCATTCACAAATGCCTTGAAATCAAATCAGCTATCAAATGTGGTTACAAAAACAACCTCAAATGTGGAGTTTCATACTTCCCTATTTCACTATAATAACAAGCTCATCGCTATGGTAACTAGCTCATCGCTATGGTAACTAGTTCACCTTATTTCACCTTTCCCCAGCTTGGTCAATGAGTTTCATACTTCCCTATTTCACTATAATAACAAGCTCATTGCTATGGTAACTAGCTCATCGCTATGGTAACTAGTTCACCTTATTTCACCTTTCCCCAGCTTGGTCAATGAGTTTCATACTTCCCTATTTCACTATAATAACAAGCTCATCACTATGGTAACTAGCTCATCGCTATGGTAACTAGCTCACCTTTTTTCACCTTTTCCCAGCTTGGTCAACAGTTCCTGTTGATCTTCTTTCTTTAGTCGATTAAAACCGTTAATTCTACAAAAAAGTAAAGAGTACATCACATACTAGAAACTAGGGAATAATACAATTTTACACAACATACTAAAACCCCAAAATCATAGAATTTTCAACAGATCTATTCTGAACAAGGTCCATGTATTCTGTTTTATCGTAAAACTTTGACTGGACAATTGTACAGAGAAGTTCCAGTTGACTGAAAGACAAACTGACAGTATACCCTTTCTGACTTTGTTTTGAAGGTTATGATTATATACATCTACATGACAAATGGCTCTGTCTACTTATCAATAATAAATGGCTTTGTCTGTATATCAATCTCATTGGTTAACTGTAAAGATGTAAATGTAAAAAACCAACTAGTTCTGCACTCATAATGTTGTGTTAGGATGTTCTGCACTCATAATGTTGTGTTAAGATGTTCTGCACTCATAATGTTGTGTTAGGATGTTCTGCACTCATAATGTTGTGTTAGGATGTTCTGCACTCATAATGTTGTGTTAAGATGTTCTGCACTCATAATGTTGTGTTAGGATGTTCTGCATGGATTATTTAATTTCTGAACCATACCTTTAGCATTATTGATAACAGACATTTGTGATTATAAAAGATGACATATAAATGAAGATTTCCAGAGTTAGTGTTATAGACTGAGGGTATCCAACAACTAGTTTTATCCACTGCAGTCCCCACACTGTACTGCTGAACCATCCAGAAAATGAAAACAGAAACCTACCAAGTGAGACATCTGTAGTTTTCAGGGAGATCTTTTGTTTTGAAGACCTTAAAGTTTTATATTAAAAGGCCATCAAAGATATGCACGCTTTTTGTCCTCAAAATGTTGCCTTTTTGATAAATCAGATGGACCCATTGAATCTTTAAAATCAGATTGACCAGTCATTCTGACTGAAATAAAGGATCCTTGGGAAAAAGACATACATGTTATACTAACTTTTCTGGATTTTTATCTTTGGTAAACTCAAGGTCTTCTCTTTCTTCTACAAAACAATCCACATGATACCATAGATTCTGGGGGCCATACAATTTGGCTCTTTCACTTTCAAAATCTTTCACTGCAATGCGAACAGCATCCTGAAATTGAAAACATTGAAGGATATCAGTTATCTAGCTGATCACAAAATAATCTATCCACAATATTTTGGGAATAATGCACACAATGGTAGTATTAACAGGAGGACTTTCCTGTCTTTTGACTAAGACCTATAGCAAAAGTTGGAAACAGGAACAACTCAAGTCCAAATTAGCATCTGTCTATATGTGTAAATCATTCCTCCATCCTCTGATCTCAGCAGAAAAGTTTCATTCTAAAGATTTTCTCCCATTTTTGGTGAAACATTTCAACGTTTGGTTTCATTTGATAGATAAGTAAATCTTTTTTGCTTAGAATATGCTATTAGTTCCAACTGTTGAACATAAATATTCATTTTGATTTTTAAAGCTTGTCTTGAAAGTATCCACAGACTTTTTCCTACCTGTGCTATTTTGTCTCCACATCCTCTACAACCACTGCGACCAGACTTGGCATATTCAGTTACATAATTCCCAGATGTAGAGTCCCCTCCCGCATCTCCTCCTCCTCCTCCTCCACCACCTCCTCCTAAATATCAAGTTCATGTTTAAGTGTGTCCCTTATGTTGAACACAACCAATCAGTATTCATTTCATCTTAATTACTCACTTGTACATACACAACTTTTAATTAATGCACTACCAACCATTTCATTCCATGCTGTATTTTTCCTTTCTTTACGAAAAATTATCCCAGAGTGAATTATATTGTCATTATAGCATTGCTCTACAAGGAAACAATTAAATTGTGTACATCCTACAAAAAATTCCTTGTAATTTGACGAACCCAGTACTTGATATTCGGCTGGAACTTTTGACATACTAATAAATATTTCTTTAAATTCACACTGAACAAACCTGCTACTTTCTCTTTGATCTTTTCTTGGTCTTCCCATCGTAAAGCATCAAATCCTTGAATATGGTTAGCATCCTCTACTCGGGCACGTTTCCAAAAACAAGCAAAATGAAACCAGTTTGGAATCTGCAACACATACACAAAAAAGTTTTAAGATATATTAGTAAGATAAAATGTTGATCAATAGATAGATGTGGGTGGGCTTATTACCAAAAACGGGCACATTGCCAGATAATATGTTACCAAACATGTTACAATGACAATACATGTTACAATCTTATAATTGATGTAGATATAAATTGAAATGCTACATGTATTCAAATTCTATGCTCCATCAAAAAAACAAGGGGCAGTAACTCTTTCTAAGATAGTCAAATGAAACTGCCTTTCAGGAAAACATCACTTCATGTTCAGGTGAAAAGGACTGATTGAAAACGGTGGCAGGATATCTCCAGACATATAAAAAGTTTACAGTGGATGGAGGACACCATACCATAATATGTCCTATCAAAATGATACTGATATATTTTGATAATGTATTGGTATATGTATTTCAAGTTAACTTTATAAAACGAAAAGATCATACTCTTCTCTGATCGAATTTTCCATGGAACATTTACGTACAGCTCACCAATCTAAACAAAATGTATCTAATACACACCTTTCCATCGAACATAGGCGACTGAAAATATAAAAGAAAGATATGTTATTATCGTCATCATGATACAATGTACATGTACAACCATTCTTACTATTCAGAACTTGTTAAACATTGACAGAAAAGTAACAGACACCAACTGTGTTAACAGGAACCACATCATTACACAATTACATATATGTACAGAGTAGCAAAGGGTTATGGCCACAGTTTCACATCACAGGGACATGACTTACCAAGGTCCAATGACTTAAAGAATCTTGCATCCCTCAGTAGAGTGATTGAGACACTTTTGGGTATCTCAACCCAAGGGAGAAATGAAAGGCGTTTTAAGTTGTTTCACAAATTAATTATACATATACTCTTTCTTAATGTGTTCAAAATCCCCTTTCTCACCCACAAGGGGTTAAATGATCATTCTTGAACAATTTTGGCCTAAAGTTTTTTAATTTATAACTTCAGGGCCCGTCAAAATCAATATAATTTGCCAATGAAGGATTTTTATTAACAAGTCAGTTGTAAGAGTAGATCTCTTCCATGTAATTCTACTACTTATCAAATAAAACTATACTTTTCCAGGGATTAATCCTGACAAATTTTACATCCAAAAAATGGTAGTTTTCCCCAAGTGATATATTTTACACTCTGAATATTCCATCAAGGAAATATCATACAAACATGGTAAAATTTCCTCAAAACAGCTAATTAGTATATTTCACTTCCTTTATTTTCCAATCCTGTTATCATGAAAATGAAATACATACAAATCAAACCTCTACATTGTCAATTTCATTTTTGTAATCTTTATGTATATCATATACTTTTACCCTATCCCTTGTTTGAATTGTGACCAAAAAGGCTGTCAATTTCTAAAAAAAAAATAAACCAAAATTTCCCTTTTCCACAATGATTTAGTGTTCCTAAAACTCTAAATTAGCCCATGCTTTCAATTGGGAATTCCACATTGCTTTTGTGAGACTTTCTTGTGCAAAATTGTAAATCTGTGCCTCTACGATTAAATAAAAAATGACCACAAGTTTTTTGTTGACCGTGATTGTAGTATAAACAGCTGTTTTAAAAGCCATTCACAGAGTTATCTAGAGGTACAAGGGTGATGTCCAAGGTTATATAGGGATCTTACCAAAAAATATTGCCTGGTATATTTGTTTCTAATCAGTCAGCCAATTAAAACAAAGACAAATGACAGTTGTCATGAGACATCTTATCTGGAAGAAATACTTTCTTACATTATTGTTATATTTTCTTTAGTTTCTCCGAAACAAAAGATGGCTTACTCGGTGATGTTTACTCTACAACTGAATGTTAGCGTTTTATATAACTAGCTTGTCTAGCTAGGTACGAATGTGACAAGGTCTGATAGACTTTAGTTTGCAAGATATGGACAATATATTCTCAAGTGAACCTGAATGAGGTAAAAATTGAACAGTATATGGCCGAATGCCGGCGATTTTTTCTGAAGGTGGCGAATTTCCCTCTGGTATATTTTTGGTTACCTTTACTAATTATTGTATACCATACATGGTCACATTCTACATAAACAATGATAAATGCCTCTGTAAGCATAATAGTTGGCTAGCTGCAAATCAGAATATAGAGATATAACACTTCAGTATCCACATCATACCGAGTGTAAATATAATATATATGGATATGTGTTACTTTATTAGAGAACAAGATAGATATATCTAGTGGAGTGTTTGTGTTTTTCGGCAATGTCTAACATTTCACGGAAGCAACAATGTAAACATGAAAAGTAAATTCTTGCGAGGGCGATCGAGGCTATGAAATTAAGGTAATTTACATGATCTCAATGTCATACGGCATAATCACCTGAACCATAATTGCCAAACGAAGAGAATCCTTAGAGATTGACATTGAACAAGCTTTACACGACGATCGACCACTCTTGGCATATTCTGACTTGAACGGAAGGTCCTGGTGGTCAGCCATGCTTGCGGTTGTTGTGGAATGGATTGCTTACCTTTGCATTTTAAGAACCGTGTGCAAAATCCGCGCCAAAGTTTTGAAATCGCATTGTATTATAAGCTTGAAACGCTTGTCAATTCGAAACAAACACTGTAACGACACAGATGAAGCATTCGGAAATCTACTATTCGTAACACCTTGGACGACTCTATGTGTTCATCATAGGGGCGCTTTCACGTAAGCAGTTGAAACGGCTGGATCGGTTTACCCTGCAAGAAAGGCAACAGTGCAAATCGGACCCGAGGCTGGAATTTGATATTTGGCACGTGCAATTTGAGGGGCCCAGCTGTACTTGTCAGAAGCTAATATGCTGAATATCATTAGTTTTCAGAATTTCGCCATAAAAGTAGGATCGGTGCGCTCACATATTTCCGCAATACTGTGTTATAAAGTATAAGTGAAATGGATGGCATATTAATTTAGTTAATTTGTGCTTGACTGGAAATTTCGGAACTATGCATTTTGAACTTTATATATATCAGATCCAATATCCGGTACAAATGCGTTCGTGTATAGTGGAATAATTACAGTCCACCTGAACCGTTTCAACCGGATTAACTGAATGCAGTCTAGCTCGCAGGGAACTGTCTTTTTTAAATGAGATCTTGACCAAGGCAGGGATAGGGATGTGCAATGCATCCATGGTCTAGATGAGCGTAAAAACACACAATATCTTATCTGATACGATAATGTAAAAATAAGTGAATTGCACGGAACAGGGGGAAAAAATCAAATCGATTTGGAGTTCATAATAGCTCCCCAATAGTTCAGATATGTTGTCAGTAGCATCTATAAATTTTATACTGGTAAGAGAGGCTGAATGGCTCCTCTAAGATTTTCAATGTTGCACATTTCAACACATTTCCTGGATTTTGTTTGATTTATTTTGTATTTACACAATCAAATGAATTGCGGTCATGGTTTAAGGAGATAGTGGGCTGTCCATTTTGTCCTTCGTCCAAGCAGAGACGTATATACGTGATATATACGTCTCTGGTCCAAGCGTGTCCCGTCGTCCGCCTATCTAACTGAAACTCTTGTCATCTTTTTGAACTGAAAGACTGCAATAAAAAGTAAAATCTTCCTATCTTTTCAACTAAAAAGGTTTCATGTTTTTTGAGTCCTACTCTTGTCATCGCTATTTTTTGAGTATTGCACGATGGGTATACTTGAATTAAAGTTCACGGTAAGGTGAGAATACCCGGACTAAATTGTATCCGAACTGAGCACAACATTCAAAATAGTGAAACTAAATATCAAAATATTCCTTTATCGGTATAGATGCCACTCTACAGTAGTGAAATACGTGTTTACATGTATTATCACAGGTACTCAAATCATTAATTACTAGTCCTTAAGATGATCCTTTATTTAAGGGAAAAGATAACGTCGTGATTTTTTTCGCAGTACGTCGTATAAGTGGACATTTTACGGCATAGGACAAGTATTTTTTATTACATTTGCTTTATCTATATAAACGGTGTTTTATCTTTTTTTCAGGTGATAAACTTTTTTATGACGATAAAATTATTTTACTTCACTTGTCAATACCGAACCTGATAGGAGAGATTTATGACAGGTGTCTTACAATGTTTCACGAGTGACTGAATCAACCGAGGCCAGGTAGTAAAATTAAGACATTACTCACGGGTAATATTATTTCTAATTAACATGTTAAAAATGAAGTAAGTTGAAGTAATTAAAGGTCGGGTTGACGATATTTTTTTCTCTGTGTGGCACTGAGAACGATAACCAGACGGAATGTGAAATAAATTGTTACCATGGCCTTACGATTTATATGATTACGTCATCAGTTCAGGTAAAAACAAATCAATTTAATTCAATTTATTTCCGTAAGTTAAACAACATATTGGATAAATGACAGTTAAAAGTACAAAGACATTCACACTCTTACCATCATGCACACTATGTCATCATTCATTATGTTGGTATAATATTTTTGAAGAAAACCACAAAAATATATATTAAATTGTGACAATAAATCTTTCCCACGTTTATTTGCTGATGTTACTTTTGATACTTTTCTAAATTAATGAGTTCTTTTATATTTTCGACTTTGAGTAACTGAATGAATTCAAACTTAATATGCTTATTAAGATAATGTGGCTTAATAAATTTGGTGCGAATATCTAGATAACACTTACATTCAATATTGTCTTCTGTATCGTTCTCATCACATAAAACACATTTTCTTTCTTCCCTTAACTGGCTTATGTAGGTATGACTGGAGTTAAATACTTTCAAACATATGTTGGTATAAAATCCTTTAGATTGAAGAATTAACTTTCATAAGACTTTCCTGTGGAAAATTGTCAAATAAACGTTGTTTATAAACAATACTATGAAATTCAGCAGAACTGTTATTGCTATCTTCAAACATATATCCAAGGCCGACAGTTGAAAGGTCACGTTTTAAATTAAGGATCCAAGGGTCATTGTTTTGTACCATATCATCATAACATGATTTGAGTACACAAATATTAGAAAATTTTAGCTTTAGCCAATATTTGAAAATTCTAAGGGACATCTTCATAACTCAATGTATAAAAATGCAATAATTGTTGATTTTCTTAGTCCTAGTAATGACTTCAGAAATGTGATACAGAGTTTATCAAATTATGGAGTTTTGTGATAACCCCAGATTTCAGAAACGTACATTAAAACACTATATGCATAAGTGTCAAAAACAGCAAGACAAGATACAATATTAAAATTATTCTTTCTCCAAATATTATTCGTATAATGCTTTTCGTCCTGGTTCTGCGAGTTTATTTGGAGTTTTTGTCATCAGTACATGTAAAAACAAAACATACGCGCTCTCCGCTGAAAAACACGTGTTTCGGACTGGTTTGATAGATGTGTTACTGCACACGTGCTAAATTGTGACAAGAATAACATATCATATCGACGGCACACACGATACAATTTTGGATCTACATGGCTACATGTAGGTATATATCTCACTGGTGATGTCTCCGACATTGAAGTTCGGGGCGAAGTCGAGACAATTGACCTCACTTACATATTTTTTGATGGTAGACAATAGACCATGATATTTATGTTTATGTTGATATGTTTGGTCAAACTGAAAGTAAGAGTATCCGTGTCCTTTATCAAATCATTTATCATATTCACCCCTTTACTGTACATTGTTTAGTAAAATACAGTTTTCTCACCAACAGTCAAGTTTTTACGATGGAGTTTTTTAAAATAAACTATCCCTGGATCTTCCTAACCCTATCTTTCCAAAACTTGTTTTTACATTTATTTTGACTTACTTAACATGATCATTTCCGCAATTGGGGGGAGGGGGCATATGAAAATCAATATGATTTTTAAATGTTTTGCCATTTACCCGAATTTTGATATAATTTCCTTACCCAGCCTAACTTAAATGAATCTATGGATAATTTTATATTTACCATTTTGAGATCTCCATCACAATATCTTTGAATTACAATATCTCTCTCCACTTGGTTAGTTTTAATGTTTAACTTGATCAAAACCTGATCATCAGGAGTTTGTAAATAAAGGATCAAACTGTGATAACATTAAATATTTTATCAGATGAATTTTCCCTATCGGAGTAAAAAAATTTTCCTACTCCATGTAAGCGAATTCAGTTGTATTCATTTTCTTTATCAAAGCTATGTTTTGGAATCTCATGAAGATAAACACTGAATTCTATATTCCAAGAAGTGTAAATGTATTCTTTCACCAGTGTACGTTTAGATCAGGTAAAAAGTAGCCTCGCTATAATTTTTGCTTCCTGTCCCGACCCCCTGAGTTTTAAATATATTTAGTTTTGATATTGAAATTCTAGCAGAAGTATTCAGTTCTTCAATTGATTCATTCAAAGGTCTTTCTGTACCATCTAACATTGGAGACGTGTTACCCACATACCGAGAAATAAGAAATGGAAAATTATTCACACCTATATCCTTAACATTTTCATTATTTCTTACACTTATGCTTAATATTTTAACACGAAGAATAAGAATATATGGGGCGATTGGATCACCTTGACGACAGACTCTTTTCATATATGGAAAAGATGATAAATCGACTCCTTGATTGATCGTTTAACTAGTGTAAGTGTGCAGAATTCCTCTTAATCTAAAAACACAAGGTTTTAGCGACACGTGTACAGGTCGATAGTTAACGTGTCGATGGAAAGATAAAACCTTCCATACTTACTTGCACATAAATTCTCGCTACGTTGCTGGCAATGACACGACAAAAATTATAAAGATTGTTAGATACTAAAGAATAATGATAGTCAGAACCGGCTTCGGACTGTGTGTGTCCTTTCACGCCCCTTTTGCCACTTCTATTCTTTGCTGATTTGGTGTCCCCTCCGGAACACGTATACGGCAGTGTTGACATACTGAAAACGAGAAGTGAACCGATCCAGTGCTAGTAAATACCAGATATACATGACAAATGAATTTCCTCTTACGGAACAAAGACAAGTCAGTCAAGAGAGGGGTGCTGTTTATTCCCGTGGTTTTATAAATAGTCTGTCGGAAGGTCGTAAATTATCATCAAACTCGATGAATCCTTAATCAAATTCATTTTCTATATAAATAGAAAAGTAATTTTATCGGAATTTTTCCAGCACGGTCCAGAATTCTATTTCGAAAACTTTGACGAGTCACATTACTGAAAGATATAGTGAGTCTTCAGAAATTGAGAGAGTCCCTCGGAAACTTGAATAGTACAGATGCCGTTAATCGCAGTTGACACTGCCGATCCGTTGGAAATAAGCCGGGTCCATCCTTCACTGAATTTTTCAACCCCTAACTCGAAACACTCTATGGATGGTAGGTCCACGGTTGTGATCAGTCATTGTGTTCCAGTGGTTGGCTTCCTTCTTCACAATAACTCCTAGTGCGTAGATCATTCTCTGTATATGGTCTGGTATATGCTAAAGTTTCAATGCC